ACTACTGAAGAAAATGGGCTCCCAGAAGAACAGAAGCGTGGCTGGCCCCTCCTGTTTCCCCCACAGTGTCCAACCCTTCTTCTGGCTGAGGTGAGTGTTCGGACCATCTCTAACGACCAAGCTCAATCACGCTCAGAAACACAAACTGGCCTGCCAGGAAGAGGAGGCCCACAGGAGTAGGCGTCTCTCAGCCTGTCCCACCAGCCTGGAGCAAGGCCACCATTCAGAGGGCAAAGTCACTGTGAGAGCAGGAGGCCTTTCTGGTGGCTTTCTGTTAAGACAAGGGCCAGGCCTTCTCCCCGTTTAACCCCCCATGACCTTTGAACTTCTTGGGAGGTCAGCAGCACATCCCCCTTCCCCAGCTGTCTTTCTGTCTCTGGCCCGATGGGAGGGAGGGCCCTGGGCCCGTTCCATTTTGCGCCCGTATTGATCTGTTGGCAGCAATGGGCTGGATAATTAGCCAGGAATTAGGGTTTCTATTACAGCCAGGAGGCTGCTCCAGCTGATTTATCACCTGAATAATTTACTGTGATTGAAAGGAAATTAAAATGAACTCCATTTGACAACTGTGAGCTTTTATGGGCTTTAGTGAAGGCTCAAAAGCCAGATTAATAGCCTGGTGTTGGTTAATAGTCTGCTGAGAGTAAATACGGCAGGCTGTGCTCTCGGCTGCCTTCCTGCCTGCTGGCCGGAGGACGCACCACTCCCGCCAGCGACAGCGTCAACGGGAGTTTTACTGAAACAGATTCCACTGTTCGAATCACACGTGCACACACACCACCAGCAGTTGTTTCTTTTTTTTTACCCTCTTCTCCTCCAAGGTGATTTTTACTCACTCCACATGTAGGGAAAACAGAATTGCTTTTTCAATAACCATTTTGAAAAGGAAGTGTTTCATTGTCGCAGGAGTGATGTGCATTAACCCCTTCCACTCAGGCCAAGGGCTTCCTAGGTTTCCATATAAAAGTCAGAAGCCTGGGTAGAGCTTGGTGGGAAAAGTGGCAAGGTGTGTGTGGGTGTGTGTGGGTGTGTGTGGCTCTGGGCTCAGCCCAGCCTGGTCCTGAAGAGGGCTGTTTTTCCCAGGGGATCTGACCACAGCAAAGAAAATGAGAGCCTATGGCAAGACAATGTCACTCTGGAATAACAGGTAGGTTCTGGATGCAAAGGGCAATTGCAAGGATCAGTCTGCAGGAAGGTCTTCTACAATCACTGGAGATACAGAGGCCTGTGTGACCAGCTTGCAAAAGACCCAAACAGAAGATCCTGAGGTCAAATACCAGCTCTGTAGCCTCGACAAACTCCTTGCACCTGAAAGCAGGTGAACAATCTAAGAGAAAATGTTCCGATCCATACAATGGGACTTACAAATCAGGGCCAGGACACATAGCGGGTGAGAGTCCAGTGAGAAATGGCTGTAAAAGATCTTTGAAAACTGTACAGCATCAGGTATAGGTAGGAAGGTCAGAGTTACTGCTATGCTGTTGCTGGGCTATTGCTGTTATCAAAGTCACAATCACCACCACCACAGATTTGGAAACGAGGGACAGAGAAAAAGCGACTTGCTTATTAACAGGGCAGCGGCAGGATTCCAGCCAAGCTCCTCCAACTCCAAGACCAGAAAGCACTCAGTGGAACTGACGGGTAGGCACCCACTTGGGCCACTACATCTCAGAAGCACCGACTTGGATATTCTGTCAGTTCACAAACAGAAAAAGGCTCATCACTCAGGACTCCAAGCCTCCTCCTGGTGCCACCACCATGCCACCCTGGGGCTCACAAGGCACAGCAGAGAGCCAGCATGAAGGTATCCGTACCCTTGATGTCTCCCTTACCAGCCCACGGCCCCTTGCTCAGCCGTCATTAGTTCAAAGTGATTGGGAGCCCAGAGCGAGGGTATGTCATTCATAGTCCAGTGCCTGTGTGTGTGCCTGGCAGCCCCGTGGCCTCACCTTCCATCTCTCCTCATTACAGCACATTACAGGGAGGTGAAGCAGATTAACCAGAAAGCACTGAGTCAGTCATTATCCTGCCTCACGGTTCGCCTGCAGGCCCCGCCTCATAGCCCCACAGTCAGAGACAGGCCAGCCACATGTCCGGCTCATCTGAAGGGCACTGCACAGCGACACTCAAGAAGTGGAGCACTGACTGAGTTCAGGCCCCATCTCCACATGGGCCTACGAGCCTGTTTCCCCCACTGTCACCTCTGCTGCTTCGTTCTCTGGGATTCTCCCTGTCCAGGTTCCTTCTCCATTTATCAGGACCCACAAGGTCTTTTCTCTTGCCTCACAAGTTCTGAAACCACACTACCCTGCCCCTGTGAGACTGCGGGCGGACAGCCCTGATGCCTGATTCATCCTCAGCCCCTGAGTGCCTGGCACTGTGCCAGGCTCACAGCCAGCATGAAAGAAATATGTTGGATAATTGAGGAGATGAGTGTCTGAACAAGTGAGTGAATGGATACATGGATGGCACTTGGACTCCTCCCAATTACGAACGCAAGCCTTGAGTCTCTGCCCAGTCTTTCTGGCATTCTGGGCAATGTGATTTATGATTCACATTGCGAGTCTCCATGAGAATCATGTGAAACACAGAGGGAAACATGGTCTCTTAACACTGACGTCTGAATTAAGTAAAGAAGGACTTAATAAAGATCTGGAGGCTTCGTAGGATAGAGGCCAGCTGAGGGCAGAGGATGCTCACTCTTCACATTTACTTGTTGGGTGACCTCAGACAACCCTGTCCATCTCTGGGCCTGTGAAAAAAATTAAAGAGGAGAGGGGCTTCCCCAGTGGCACAGAGGTTAAAGTGTCAGTGCTATCAAGCTATCATCAGCCACTGTGGCATGAGTTCAATCCCAGCCAGGGAGCTGACCCACATGGCACAGCAGACCTCTCCTTTTTTTGCCTACTGTTCCCCTCAGCTGTTTATTTCAGTCAATCTGCCTGTCCTGCTCCCCACTCTCTCTGGTGAATGCACTCACCCCCATCTCTTCAGACCTACACCCCAGTCTTTGTATATGTAAATGAATAAAAATAAACAAAGGGATAGGAAACTTGCCTCCATATTTCCTACTAGCTCTAAAATCATATCTTTATGATCCAGATCTTTATTAAGTCCTTCTTCAGTGGTAAAAGATGAGTTTTTCCCAGATTCTAGGGAGAAAGGAAGATCTCATCCAAGGAAGTTTTTCCTGGTGTCTCTCTTTCCTTTCTCTTGTGGCCAATGAAGTGTGACATTGGCCATCCCTTAGGAGGGCTCTGAGCAATGAGAGAGGCCATTTGTGAAGGACACCGCCCAGGATCTACAGTATATAGAGTGCGCTCTGTTTAGCTTATATGATCATGTCATTCCAAGAGAAAATTTTGCTCCACTTATAGAAGGAAAAAAACAAACTACTGACTGATATACTGAGAGCCTACAAGACCGGACCACCTTCTTTACATCTCACACCTGCCCCCAACCTGTTCCGTAAAGTCCAGTCACATTGAACTTCTTCCTGTTGCTCACTGCTGCCATGCTCCCTCTTACCTCAGGGACTTTGCACTTGCTATTCCCTCTGTCAGGCCTATTCTTCCACCCCCACACTGTTTCTCCTGTTGCTGCCCAACCCCTTCAAAGGTCCCCAAAGTGTATTTCCCACAGGAGGCTATTATGGCTTCCAGGCATGCTTTCAGAGAAACTCAGAAATAACCTTCCTCAACACCTGGCCCATTTGTAATACACTACCGTTTGGGTCATTCCTATTTATTGTGACTCTCCACACATCTGCAGGCTCCTTGAGCACAGATCCAAGCCTGTTGTGCTCTCTGATATACCTAGCACCTTGCTCAGTTCCTTGCACATAGTGGATACTCATCAATGTTTGTTGAGTGAATACACGATTTGCTGTGTGGCCTTATGTGAGTCTCCTTGCCTCTGGGCTTCCGTTTTCTTATTTGAAAACAAAGTAGCTAGGTGCTATGTGTGAGCCCTCACAGAAACTGTTTAGACAAAGCTAGAGAGTCATCAGGGATGGTCCCTGAGGCCTTGCTCATTCTGGCCACCCATGGTTCTCTCTGGCACCTCTCCGCTCCACGGCGCTTGCACTCACAGCCCACACGATTTCAAACAGCTTTGGAAAACTTCTGAAACCTCACTGTATCAGCTTGTAGAGGAAGCTCAGTGAGGCCAGTCCTCGCCACCAGTACCAGCTAGCAAAATGCTGGGCAGTCATCACTCATAGTACTCCTCTTGGACTCGCCCACCAGATGTGAGCTTTTAGGTAAGAACCTGTGTCTGCAAGATGCCAGCCCAGGCCCTTCACAGACTGGATGTCAGGAAATCATCTCCTGAACTCAATCTGGTACTGTGGGAACCTGACCTTGGCCCCATCTCTACAGCCACAGACATGGCTCTTTCTCTCCCCGGGGCAAAGATGGAGGCTGCTCATCAAGTCATCTTCCTCCTTGTTTCCATGTCCAGCAAATGACCCAAATATGAGTTTGTCCATTGAGACATTCCTCATTCCAAATTCTTGGGTTCAGTCTCTAAAAACACAGCAGGAGAGCTGACGAGAGTTGATGGTAGGGTAGCATAGCAACACCATCATAACGTGGTTTATGGCCTTACAGTGCTTACATATTTCCACCTTCACCCTGACTGACAGGATAATGACCCAAGACCACCTCAAGTGGCCCAGAAGATCATTACACTCCCCTGTGGCAAGGGCCCTAGGAAAGTACACCACTCAACAATGGCAGAGCTGCCAGACAAATCACATGCACACCCCTGGCTAGCCAGAGTGACAGAAGCACTGAGCTAGAAGTTGCCGGAGCCCTGAACCTCATGTCCTCCTAACCCCACGAGATGCAGTGACCAGTCAAGTCTAGCCAAGAATCTTGAGATGCCCGCATCTGAGTAGAACTTTGCATCTCACCCAAACCTGGCCAAATGCCCTCAGGAGGGCTGCCCGGCGTGTGTTTGGGTGGCAGGTGTGGTGGACAGTGAATCACGGGACTTACCTGCTCAGGCTTGATGGGCTCCGTGGTGGTGAAGATATCCGAATAGTGCTGCCTCTCAAACACGCGGTCCAGCACCTCCAGCTGCTGCTGCGTGAACAGGTCTCCCCGCATCTGCTTCCGGAGGAAATCTCTGCCAGGCAGCGAGTGACCGTTCGGCACTGGAGACTCTTGAATACCTTCGATGAGCATGAGAGAGGAAAGGAAGGGTGGTCACACCAGTGACTAAAGGAAGACATGTGAGACCTGAGATTTGGCAAAAGGCCGGAGAGCCCAAGAGTTTAGCTCCCTCTCAGACAAATGAGGAAACAGGCTTTGCCAAGGGGGTTGTAAGCCGAGGTCACCTTGCTGGTTAGTAAGAGCAATAGCTGCATGCCAGGCTTGTACAAAGCCCTTTTTATAGGCATCTTTCTCACCTAATCCTCAAAATAACTCCACTTTTGATGCTATAATTTTTCCCATTTAGTACATGAGAAAATTGAGGCTTAGAGAGATTAAATGATTTGCCTGAGGGATACAGCTCAAGTTGACTGAGGGGCTTCATCACCAGGTGCCTCTGCCTCTCTTGCACTTCAGACTCCTCACCTGGCTGGTGCTATTTTGTCCACACCTGATTCCCTTACCCAGCACATTTGCCACCATACCACATGAACAGGCAGTAAGCCGGTGTGTTAGGAAGGCTCAGGGAAACAGCAACCTCACACAATTCTGATGGGACTCCCTGGTCACACATCCGTGATCGACAATTTGACCAAATCTATAAAGATCACAAATGCACATTCCCTTTGATAGAGCAACCACACCTCTGGGAATTGATTTTACAGCTAGACTTACACATAGGGGAAGTGATAGATATACAAAGTTCTAGTTGCAGAAAGACTAGAAACAACCCTGCAGGGGCAGGTTTTGAATAAGTTATGTGTGCTTACGCAGTGGAATGTCGTGCAGCTGCAGAAAGGAAAGAGGACTCCTTCTGTGAACTGATATGGAAAGATCCTCCAGATACATTGCTAGATAAAAAACTCAACATGGTATGTGTAAGGTACAACCTTTTGCATAAAAAGGAAGAAAGTAAGACTATATGCATGTTTGTGTGTGTATATATACACATACACAGACAGGTTTCCCTGCTATCTAAAAGTAGAATATTCAGATTTGGTATGATTTGGTAGGTTTGTTTGGGGCCTGAGGATGTTGAAAAAATTCTATCTAAATAGATGTTAATAATGTTCCCACCTGCCAGCACAATGTTGCCACAGACTTCACCTGTCATGTGAGGAATGAAGCCAAACCAGAAACTTGAAGTTATGGGATTTTGAGATGCTCCCCAAATGTTGGCATGTCCCCAAGTGTCCAGCATGAGTGCTGACTTTTCAGAGTCTCCTGTGGAGGCTGACAGCACAGATCAACTTAGCATTCTCTACAAGAAGGGTCTTCAAGGGTCTTCCATATGCCCCCTGAGAAAATGGGACCTCGGGTAAATTTTTCCCAAGACAATGCCATAGGCTAGGCTAAGCCTGAACGACCAGGTAACCCAGCAAGTGGCCCAAGGCAAAAGCTGGGCTCCCTGGCCAATGTTCTCCAACGTACAGCCTGGGCCCTCCTCCCCTGACAGCCTGTGATACTGGGTTTCCACCTGACAAGGCCTTCTCCTGTTCCCAGAACAGCATCCTCTCCCATCATGGCACACCCTCAATGGGACCAATCCTACAAAAAGGCAAACTAGCAGAATGTGGGAGCTCATGGCCCAATCTGGGCCCAGCACTCCAATTGGTTGGCATCCACCCAATGACCCTAATACACACATACATATATACACGAAGATGGCTGAACTTGCTTTTCCTCAGTTATTGCTCTGGCCAACCACCCTGGCCCCAAAGTTGGACCTTGGCCTCAGGCCCCAGTATTGGAACTGTGAGACAGACCACATCTACTTTAATAAGACTCTTCCTTATCCATCAGCTTCCCTCAGACCTCCCAAATCTGTTCTGCCAGCCAAGTCCCAAACCCCAGAAAAGGCTCCTTCATGGCAGCCAATTACTGATGACAACTCCCACCAAGGCCTCAGCCCACCCCCACCCCAGGCAGTGCCCACCTCTTCCTTCCCCTCAGATTGCACCATTCAACATGCCCCAGCCCTCCAGAAAACCTCTCCCTGCCAACCAGACTGTCCTCAAAAATATGTCCTCAGGCTTGGACCCTCTCCCAAGGGTCTTTACAGGAGGGACACTGCTTGGCTCAGCGATCTGGAAGGACACAGACCTCCACTGAGGACGCTCAGCAAGGGTGGCCCCTAAGGGCCAGGTCTCTGATCCGCCACCAAGTAAACGCTCAGGGTACATGGCCCACAAGGAGGGGTCTTAGAGCCCACTCCCCAAGGACACCACACACATTCCCAACGCAGGCGGTCTCACCTCCTAAACAAGTCATTATTTTATTCATTCATTTAGCAAATATTGATAATATGCATACTTTGTACAGGTAATCGTTTTTTGGTGGATTTTTTCCCTAAGAAAAAAAATAAGAGTGACATAGTAATGAGCAGACAAGACTTTCTTTCCCATCAGAAAGGGTAGCCAGCTTTAGTTAAGTACTCACACAAACAGATATGACTCATACTAAGTGGAAACCTCTAGAAATATATACAATGACTATGGTGTGACTTTTCGGAGAAGAATTGGGGAAACTTCCAAGCCAGAGTCTTACTTGAGAGTCCAGGACAAGCCATCAGCAGGGCAAAAGCAGGCAGTGGTGGAGAGGGTGTGCCCAACAGAGGAGACTGGCTTTGCAAAGGCCTGGGAGATGAGAGGGAGCTGGGAGTAAGGGGAAGACTGTCTCTCCTTTGGAGAGACACCAGTGTTCACATCTGAGGCCACAGAGTGGATATCAGCCCTCTGGGACCCTAGGGGGGGATAAGGGAACCATCACCCTCACATTCATCAGTCCCAGGGCCTGAGTCGCTAATTCCTTCATGTCAGACCACACTTTCTAAACCCTGCTCCCAAGCTTCATTTTTTGGAACAACTAGGGGCTGATAACATGCATTTTGCATTTGTGGGAGTCTGAAGGTGATGGCATAAATTTAGCCTGTCAGCCACAATGGCCTCCCCACAGGGAAGGTAAATTCTTCTTAGTGATGTGAAAACACTATCCCTAGGGCAGAGGAAGGAGGGAGCGGTGTGCCGCCTCTGTCAGGATGCCTCCCTTCAGCCTCTGTCAGGATGCCTCCCTTCATGGAGTCACTTCACTCTCCGGTCTGCAGGACTCTGACCACTGTGTCCCTTATCGTAGGAGTCAAGTTCCCTGAGACCTTCAACGCCACACTGTGTTGTTGGTTACCTTGGGGGATGGGAAAACCAGAGTTAAATCATCTCTGCCTCCTCCATTCCCCTCCAGGGCATATTTGTGTAATAAATAACATTCATTTTAAAAATAAATAAGGGAACACATTACTAATGCCTTTGACAACCGCCTTCACGCTGCAGGTCTGATCTGCAAATGACAGGATCCCTCCATCGCATCCATTCATTCATTCTTTCCTGAACGACCCTTAGTGAGCAAACACTGTTAACACTGGCCTAGAGTTATAGTAACATCTAGCCTAGAGCTGCCCTCATGGAGTGATGTCCAGTGGAAGAAACACACATTAAATGAAAAAAAAAAAAAAAAAAAAAAAAAAAAAAAAAAAAAAAAAAAACCAGAGCAGTAAAGATGGAGGTATCAACCAAGACAAAACTCTCTAACCGAAAGGTTCATGTGGTCAGAGACCAGCGATGTGGCTGACCTGCCTCAGGGTGCGGCACACAATGGGTGCACGGTCAGTGTGAACCACACGAACCCACAACACGCTCACGACAGCCACGAAACCAAATGCCAGAAAATTATCACCGCACAAGGACAAGTCTGATGCCCCAGGCCTCCAGTAGAAGCTTCCGTGGTATTCGTTATCTATGCCACAGAGATGTGATCCGACTTCATTGGGAATGTGGTCATCGGGAGGCAGCCTACAGAAATGCTCAAGCCCGTTTTATTCCAGGGAGAAAAGTCTGAACTCGCAATGTGAATAGTATGCTTAAATATATGGACAGACATGGGCAGAAGTACAAAGGTATACAGGGGGCATGGTATCTTTAAATCTTTTTTTCTACTCCAAATCAAATAATATGTAATAGACCTAGTGCTGGGCTTAGTCAACCATGGCTGGTAGAATTAACATTCTGGAAGCTAGCTTCAGGGGAGCAAGGGGCAGGAAGCCCCGTCTCGGGGAGCAAAGAAATGCTGGCTTTAAATTTCAGGTTAAACCAATGTTATTCACAACCCGGCTTTGAAGCTAAAAGCTTTACACAATCGGGTCTGGTCACGCAAAGGGGAAGGAAGCAAAATAGCTTCAGATTTCCATCTGTCAAGAGAAAGCTGTCTCTTGTGTGTCTTAAAAGATCATAAACCCATTGCGTTTTCTGCAGAGCACAGAAAATTCAGGGGCTTTGCATTTTTCTTGGAGGGTTCCGGTTTGTTTCTTTAAAAATCATCATGTATTTTATGCCTGCAGATGCTCACTGGGAGAAAAACAAACAACAGGAATCTCCATAATCCCTCTGGTATCATGGGTTGGAGGGAGAGGGGGCAGAAATGCAACCCCAGTTGGAGGCGAAGGAGCCCCAGGAACGGAGGCTAATGTCAGTGGGTCAGCCTCCCGCCTTTCTCAGAATCCCACTTCTCTAAAGAGCCCAGACCCAACCCAGAACCTTGCAGCCCCTCCTTCATCCTCATGGTTGAACCTCAGTGTGCAGGACAGTGTCAGGACCCAGTAGGACAAAGATTGGGAGCTAACAGACCTGGGTTCTAGCCCCAGCTCTGCCCTTTCTTACTGTGTGAGCCCAGGCAAGTTTCTCTGCCTTTCTGAACCTCAGGGGTTCCATCAATGAAGTGAGGAGTTCGAGTCAGTCATATCTGCTTTCTCCTCCAAAATGCACCTACAATTTGTCTATTAAATAGTATTAAATGAGCATTAACTTATTTTCCCATGTAGGTTGTTTGAGGATTCTGTGTAGGGGATGTCCCACAATATTCACCCCGCTCCTAAGCAATTACCCATGCTTCCCCAGGGGCTCCCATTGTCTTTTCCAATACTTAGTTTAGGGATGGATACATGAAGACAAACCTTGTGGTGGGTGGGGGC